TAATAATAATAATAATAATGTTAGTATTAATAATAACAACAATAATACTAATAGTGGCAATAATAACAATAATAATATGATAATAGTAATAATAATTAATAATAATAATAATAATAATAATAATAATAATAATAATAATAATAATAATAATAATAATAATAATAATAATAATAATAATAATAATAATAATAATAATAATAATAATAATGTTAGTATTAATAATAACAACAACAATACTAATAGTGGCAATAATAACAATAATAATATGATAATAGTAATGATAATAATAATAATAATAATATTAATAATAATAATATTAATAATAATGATAATAATGATAGTTATAAATGATAATACATAGTAAAATTGTTAGAATACTGATGTTATCAATAGAAGCAGGAAGTGAAGAATTCTAAAAATAGCTGAGAATTTCACAAGACGATGCATTTAAATTGTAATTTGACATGCAAATTAAATAAAGGACTGTGTCCAACGTGAATTTCTTATAAAAAAAAAAGTTATTTATTATTTATTGGCATTCAGAATTAGTATTACAAATAAGATACATACATATATGTATTATAATATTTAATGATTTGCTAACATTATTTATTTCCTGATACATTTCTCATTCTACCTGATCCGGTTAATCTTAGCTGTACAATTTTTATCAGTGAAATTTTTGAAATTAAAAATTATTGTTAAATTATTTGTTGCTATTTATTATTTAATTAATTTTATTATTCAGATTAATTGTGAGACATATAGTTCAATAGGAATAATATAGTGAGATATCGATATAATTGCATATGGGAAGATCAGAATGATATTTTGATAATATGGAATTCTGATCTGATAGTTTATCACGAAATGATAATCTCTTATCAGCTTATCATAGAGTATTTGTTGTGTTTAATTTTTTATTAAATATTTTCTTGTTTTTCTTCTTTTTCATTTCAAATGTCTTTAGCCATGTTTAGTGAAGTATTCTTTATGATAATTTAAATCAAAGCAAAAAAAAAAATTCCAATTTTTTTCAGAAAACTTCTCTTCCATACTTAATTAGAAGAATAAGACAGAGAGAGAGAGAGAAGAGGAGGGAAAGAGAAAAAAAGAGAGAGAGAGAATTACAATAAATTAAGAATGATAGGAAAAAAAAAAAGAAAGAGATGGATAACCATACAATCGGAAAGATTTTTACCGATCGTCACAATCATTCTTCTAAAACATGTTCTCAGTTTTATTTACTTTTTTTTTCTCTCTCTCTCTCTTTTCCTTTTTTATCATATCAATATGACCTTTAACCTATTCATAATTAATCCTAAAATTCGTAATTGTTCATAAAAATGAAATTGAAATGCGTCAATTTTATTTTTTTCTCTCTCTTTTTGTTTTCCTTTTTTATCATATCAATATGACCTTTAACCTATTATTCAATAAATAATTCCAAAATTTGTAATTGGTAATATCATTGGAATTGAAATGCGTCAACTTTATTTTTTCTCTCTCTTTTTTTTTTCTTTTTTTATCATATCAATATGACCTTTAACCTATTATTCAATAAATAATTCTAAAATTGAAATGCATTAAATGTTTGATTCCATTTTGTTATAAATTATTTTGATATTATCAGCCATTTCTGTTTGCAAATCTGATGATTAGTTATTCCGCAATGAATCATTTGCTTTTATTTTTTCTTCCTTTTCTCTCTCTTTTTGCTATAAAAATTGTTTTCAATTGATTTTTTCCTCTTTTTTTTTTTTTTTTTCATTCTATCATTTCAATTTCATTTTTATGCATTAATTTTTAGTCTGTTTTTATAGTAATTAGAATTGATTTTGATAAATTTTATTGCTTTGATAATAATATGATAAGATAAGAACGTTTAACAGTAAAATATTTCTTTTCTTTTGGAAAAAACAAAAATCATTCAAAATAATTTTTTATACTTTTCTTTTCTTTTCTCTTTTGTTTACTTATTTATTTTATTTCTTTTTTTTTTTTGCTTTTCTTTAAATTTATTAAATATCAATGATAGTTGGTTTTGTTTTATTTCAATAAAGCTAAATTGTAAAATGGAATTTGAAATGAAGCAGAAATGAATTCAAATGTTTTAGTTTGGTGTAAGCAAAGAAAGCGACAAACAATCAATCTTTTTTCTTTTATTTTCCATAAAATAGATCCAAAGGAGAAAATAAAACGAATGGTATTTGTAATTGAAAACTTTTAGTTTAAATTTTTTGAAATTTTATCTAAATGATTTTTAAAATTTTTTTTTGTTATTAGCATACTTATCATTAAAATAGTTATTGGATGGAATTATTACATATCAAAATTATTTAATTTAATAATAATTCAACTAATATTGTTTAAATGTTAAATTTCAAATACTAATTAATTAATTTAATTAGTGAACTTTTTTCCTCTCTGCTTTAAACTTCACAATAATTACTTATTTTTTATTTCCGTTTTTCATAATTTGTAACTTTTTCAAATTTTATTAAATCTAACATTTTGCACGAGAGAATTTGAATTGATTAACGAATTAACAAACATATGGCAAAATGTTAATATAATGGAAATTGATAGAAAGAAGTAATTAATGTCACATGTTATTATTATCATCATAGTAAATAATACTAAAAATTTATAATATTATTTCATATTATTTTTCTTTTTTACATATTAAATTCATATATTAAATTTTACATATTAAATTCATATATTAAATTTTACATATTAAATCATTTATCATATTTAATTTACACTAAATTAAAACTTATGACAGAAAATGATGTGATAAATATGAAAGAATTTAAATTAATTTAAATTAACCAATAGGCAGTAGTAATAATAAGATTTCCTTTCGTTCTGTCACCATAATTTCACTATTAATTTCATTAATTATCCACCCATCCACACACTATCACTATCATTTATCTTTTCAATTTTGAATTTTAAAATATTTCAGTGCTAATTGTAATTGTAACATTCTATCATATAGTTTTAACATTTTAATTTTATTTTTATATCATTTTAAATTGTTAATTTGTTAATTCTTCCACTTCTACTTTTCTTGAATTAGTTTGTTTAACTTTAATTAATTAAATGATTTTTCCTTTTTTCAAACAATTTATTGTTCAGTTTTTTTTTTCATTTTTGAATTATAACTTAATTATTGACTAATTGTTTGGATTTAATTTCTTACTTTTTTTTAAAAATTTCATTTCTTTCATTTGCTTTATTTATTTATTTTTTTTTTTTTTTGATTTTTTGGTATTGCAATATTACTTCACATTGTTTACGATAATTGGATGAATTTCTTATCAATTTTGGTTGACAATTCATCAGTCACTTATCATTGACATTTCTAAAATTAATTTAGTCTGAGTGTATTGTCAACAAAACAATGCTAATAATATAAATCATTGCAATTTTAAATAAATTATTAGATAGAACTAGCTAGATAGTTTCATCAATATTCCATTTTCTTTAAGTGAAAAATTAAAAATTTAAAACTAAGAATTGCGGAAAAAAAAAAGTGTATTAATAAAGCATTCCTAATTAAGTAAAAAAATTTTATTTTAATGTAAAAATTTAAACTACATATATTTTTTTTAATTCTTCAATAAATATTTATTGATAAGATAAACTGATAAGATAAATTTGATAAAATGTTGCAGAAATTTTTTTTTGCAACATTTCAAAAAAAAAGAAGAATGTTACACTTCCTAATAGTATAAAAATGATATTTCTGTGCTTATTAAATAATACCATAAATTTAATTTGACATTAATTATTCAATTTCTTTTTTCATTTTTACTTTTATATGAATACAACAAATTATTAAATTCAATGAGTAAATTTTTTCTTTTTTTTTTTTAATTGTAAATTTAAAATTTATACTAAATGAATCAACAATGAATTGAATTTACATACTTTTAGATGCATTTATACATTCCATTTATCATTTATTTGATATTTTAACTTCAACAATCAATTTTGACTATTCTATTCGAATCAATTTTTCAGTGTTATGTTTGTGTCTGTCTCTGTCTCTGTCTCTGTCAAATATTTTTAAACATAAAACTTATCATTCAATCATCGCTTGCTGTCATTTCATTTGCTTTTTTTGTCATTTTAACATTTACAAACTATCATGTTTTTAAGTAAAAAAAAAAAGAGGAAAAATGCTTATTTATTTTGTTATTTTCACAAATTTTTCATTTTATTGATTATTCATTTCAAATTTTTTTTTCTAGTTGAAATATTTTATTTAGCTGAAATTATTTTATTTGTTTCTTAAATATATTTGTATTTTTTATGTTTGAAATTGGGGTTAAATATATTTAATCAATATAGAGGTGAGATCAGCAATGTGATTCAAATAGTTACAACTAATATTAAAATGTCAACCAATTATTATTATTATTATTGTTATATAAGGTAATTATTGCAAGTATTCTTATCAATTTATTTCTAATTTAAATTTAATTTTAATATTTGAATTAGAAAAATAATTTTATGAGAAATTTTAAATTTATTCAAAAAAAAAAATTTTTTTTTTTTTTTTGTTTAAAATACGATATTTTATTTAAAATATATAAAATTTTGAGTGTTAATTGTTTTGTTTTTTTTTTTTTTTGATATTATAAATTGATTGAAATTTCTTTGATTTTTTAATTTTTTCATTTCTTTATAAAATATTTCATATAGGCAAATGATTCATTTCTATGTATTTTTTTTTTCTCTTTTTGCAATTTTTGCTATTCAAATACATTTATATTTGTTTTTTTTTCGTACATTCCTACTTGCTTTTCATTCAAATTTCTATTTTTTTTACATTTCAGATATTTCAAGTATTTGATTTTCAGTATTTAAGTATTTAAATTCAACATTTTGCTCTTTTTCATTTTTTATTGCTAATTTTTGCAGCATAAAATGTACAATGCATTTTTTCAGCGAAATCAATTCAATAAAATTTAGCGGAATTGATCTTGGCCCAAGTAGTATAGTGGTTAGTACTCCACGTTGTGGCCGTGGCGACACAGGTTCGATTCCTGTCTTGGGCAAACATTCCTATCCGTTTTGCAATTTTTCAGGGAAATTAAAAACAAAAAGACAAAAAAAAAAAAAAAAGAAAAACGGGAAAAAAGAAAACGAAAACAACGTTAGATGGATTTTATAGCATCTACGACAACATCAATTCTTCCTGCTTCTAATTTGGGAGTAAGCATTGTTTCTTTTTTTTTTAAATTAAAAAAAAAAATTTTAAATGAAATCAAAGAATGAATGTTATGAAATGAGAGAATGATTAAATTTTATTTCTTTTAACAATATAAAATGTCACTTTTGTTAAAGAGTCAATTTCTATGGGCTTTAATCCTTGGAATAGTGCTAGCATTTGTGCTTGGCTTTGCAATGGGCGCAAATGACGTAGCAAATGCTTTTGGTACATCAGTTGGTAGTAAAGTGCTTAGTCTACGAAAAGCTTATATATTAGCAATTATATTTGAATCACTTGGTGCCCTTTTTATTGGTATGTTTTTTTTTTTGTGTATAATTCTAATTTTTTTTTTAATATATAATTTGAAATTAATTTATTGATTATTATCATTTGATTAGTGCTATAATTGAAATGATAATAACATTTGAATTAGATAAACCGATGAATGACCTTGAAGAATAAAGCAAATTGAAATAGAAAATGAAATTTAGATTTTTATCTTTTCTTTTCCTCTTTTTTTTTTTTTTTTTAAAAAAAATAGTACAAAAAGTTAAAATATTTTTTTTTTTTTTGCATTAACTTTTTGAAAAAATTTCAGGTTACAATGTGACAGATACAATGCGAAAAAGTGTTATTAATTTAAATTTGTATAAAAATGCACCAGAAGAATTATTAGTTGGTCAGGTAGCAATTCTTGCAGGTTTATTAATTTTCTCTATTTCTTAATAAATTTTTGAAAAAAAAAAGGAGAGAGAGAGAGAGAAAGAGAGAGACAGAAAAAGAGAAGAAAAAATGAATTATAAATTCATTATTACTAACCGTTTTAAATATCACTTTAAAAAAGTAAGAAAGTATCAAAAGATATGTAGTACTAAATATACATATTCCAAAAATATTTTATTAAAATATTTTACTCTTCCTGAAAGTTAATCCGATTTTCTGAAGACTGATCAAATTATAATATTTTCCGAAAATATTTTATCAGTATGTTAATCCGACTTTCTGAAAAAATGAATGTTAATCCGATTTTCTGAAAAACTGATCGATTCTGACTAAATCATATTAATAATACCAATTTATGTAAAGAATTATAATGAATTAATATATACAAAAAAAGTTTGATATAATTCAAATAGCCAAAAAAAAAAAAAAAATGAAATCTATGAAATGTATAATTATTTTAAAAATTTGATATAATTCAAATAGGCAAAAAGGAAATTGTAATGTTAAATTAATTGGAATATTTTTTGAAAACAAATAAATTTTTAAAAATAAGCATAAACAAGATTTGAAATGAATTAAAATAAAATATTAAAAAGAGTAAATTTAAATTTGAAGGATGTTCCACTTGGCTATTAATAGCAACATTTGCTCAATTACCTGTTTCAACAACACATAGTATTACCGGTGCAACGGTTGGTTTCGGTTTAATAATGAAAGGAACGGAAGGAATTCATTGGTGGAAAATTCTTAATATTGGTACATTTAATTAATTAATTAATTTTAGTATGCAAAACAAAAAAACAATTATCATTTCAAACTGATATGATAATTTTGTTAAAATTTCCCTTTTTTTTTTTATTTAGAAAATCTATTTTCAATTATTTTACATATTTTTTATTTTCTTTTCATTTTTTTCTCTCTTTTTTTTAGTAGCTTCCTGGATTATTTCACCGCTATTATCCGGAATTGTTTCATCAGTTCTTTATATAATTGTTGATTTTACAGTTATAAGAAGGGTTAGAATTTATTTTCATTCTTATTTCTATCAAATAAAAAAATAAATAAATAAATAAAAAATAAAATGAAAATATAATAATGATTTATAAGTTTTAATTATTTCTATTATATTAAGTAAATTTGTTCTTCTTTTATTTTTGTCTTTTTTTTTTAATTTTTTTAATTATAATAAGTAAATTTTCTTTTAGTTTATTTAATTATTTTTTTAATTCAATAATTCTACCACTTGATTACATGATATACTTTAAAAGTGAGTATATAAATTAATAATAATTTTATTTTTAATTAAATTTTCTTCCAGAAAAATCCATTCGAATGTGGTTTACGTGTTCTACCATATTTCTATTGGTTTTGTATTGCTTTTAATACTTTTGCTATTAGCTTTCAAGGCTCTAAGAGTTTGTTTATTTTTTTCATTAAACACAACAAAAAAAAAAAAAAAAAAAAAACGAATTATTGATTTTAATTTTTAACAATTTCAAAATTTTCATTATTAATTTAATTGTGATGAATTTTTCAAGTATTATTATTATTATTTTATTTTTTTGTAATACATATAAATACTTTAAATAAACTCATATTATATTCATTCATCATTTCAGTATTGTTCGATAAGTATACATGGCTTAATGTGAAGAATATACTTAACCTTTAACCTTTAATAGTTTTAGTCTATTAATTAGTAAATTAAATTTAAATTTCAGTATTACACCTGGCTAAATTACCTCTTTGGTTGTGTTTGTTAATTAGTGCTGCAATAGCAACCGTTGTTGCATTTGCTATTCATTTTTTAATGGTACCAAAACTAAGAAAATGGATTGAAAGTAAAATTTTTATTTTTGTAAAAATTTGAATTTATTTATTAATGTTTGTCTTTTTTTTTATTTATCTTTTTTTTAAATGTAAATTTAATTATTAACAAATATTACTTTTCGTTTTTTGCATTATAATTTTCAAATTTGAATACTTTTTTTTTTGGTGAAATAAATGAAATGTTTAGTGAATTTTACAAACTAAACATTTTGGCTTAATTAGTATTGTTTTAATATTACAAATATTAAATTTAATTTAATTACTAATTATTGATTTATTAATTACTAATATTGATTTAATTAAAACTTTTTTTTTTCCAGAAAAAGAAGGTGGAAGAACTGATCAATCTCCTTCAATTGATCTTCCTAATATTACCGGACAAGTTCCAATAAAGATTAAACGTATCTTCAACCATTCCATTTATATTATTCCTTAATTCTATCTTCGTTGAAACATAATTTAAATTTACTGATAATAGATTTAAGATTGTGTAGAATATCCGGATCCGGAATATAAATGTTTTTTTTCTTGTCAATATGAAAACAACAACAAAAAAAAAAGATACAAAAAGTACTTTGCAAAAAGTGACATTAAATATTTCAAAATTTGAATTTTTGAAATAATTCGAGAAGAAGTGAAACGGAAACGAAATTTCTTTTTTTTTTACGGTTTAAAAGGATCACATTATGATGGTAGGCTTAATTTCTTCAGGTTGAACTTGCAGATGGAATTGTGCAAATCTTCATTCCGCACAATAATGGTTTATGTTCCGATGAAGTGAATAGTAAGGCGGTAATCGGAAAAAAGCGCTCAGTTTCAGGTACACTTTATCATCCGTTCCGGGTCATCTTTCCTTTCCTTCTTCATCGTTTCTTCTTTTTTTCTTTTTAATTTCTTTTTAGCCCTAAAACATTTTGTGCAATGGTTTTTACCGGATAAAAAACATCAACCGGATTCAAGAACTACACTGGTTTTTGGTTCCATTCAAGCATTTACTGCATGTTTTGAAGGTTTTGCTCATGGTGCAAATGATGTTGCGTAAGCAAATTTCACTCAAAATTAAATTTTAAAATTTTTAAAAAACTTAAAAAAATTTTTTTCTGATGGAATTTTTTAATTTTTAAAAGTTATAAAATAAAAAAAAATTTCAGTACTTTGAATATTTCATTCGATTTTTTTTTCTTTTTTAATTTTTAGAAATGCAATAGCACCGTTAGCGGCGCTTTTGTCCATTTATGCTGAAATGGATGTGCAACAGAACGATGAAACACCAATTTGGGTTCTGGCCTATGGTGTATTAGCAATTTGTGTTGGCCTAGTGCTACTTGGACATAAAGTTATACGTACGGTTGGCTCTGAAATGTCAAATATTAATCCGGCTAGGTTAAAATATTTTCCTTTTTTTTTTTCTTATCAGTATGATAAATTTATTAAATTCAATTTTAAAAAAAAAAAAGAAAACTGACAAATATATTTTATTTTTTATTTGATTATTTTAAATTTTATTTTCAATAAAAATTTTAGTTATGTGAATTTATTCAAATTAGCATAAATTTTAAAATGTTTTTAAATTTTTTTTTTATATATTTCATAGATATATGTTTATTTAACTATGTTCTGATAAAAGTTATAGTGGTTTTACGATTGAATTTGGTGCCGCAGTAACAGCATTATTGGCAAGTAAAGCTGGTTTACCAATTAGTACAACGCATTGTTTGGTAATTTATAAAAATTTTTCACAAAAAAAAAAAAATCTGATTAAAATTATCGATACCAGTAATTGTTTATTTGATTAACTCTGTTATAATCAATAATCAATATTATATATATATATATTTTTTTATCTTATCACTAATATCATATCTCAGATATTTGTTTTCTTTTAGAATGCTTTGGGGGGGAAAAAAACAAAAGAAATTAATCAATTAAAGGTTAAATAAACAATCACTAAAAAATTATCAGAGAAAACATTAGCTTTATTTTGATAATCTGATAATACTTCTAATAATACTCTTATCAGTAGGCTTCAAAAATAAGCCTAATCTTATGGCTATTAAAATTAATCAATTTTAAAAATTTGTTTACATCAAATAAAATTTTCTAGGTTGGTAGCGTAGTGGCAGTTGGTGTTGTTAAATCTCGTAGTGCTGGCGTTCGATGGAGTATTTTTCGAAATATCTTTCTGTCATGGGTTGTCACCTTACCTGCTTCAGGTAAGCAAATATCTCTAATCTTACAATCGCTGTTGAAATTTTCAAAAATTCAATCTATTTTCTTACTTAAAGCAACTGATTTGAGTGTTTGAGCACAAATTACTTGAGAATTTCCATCATTAAATTTTATTTTAAACAAAATTGCATCTCGAAAGTTTGTATGTTTTGCTTGAAATTGAAATTTATATTAAACTTAGCAGTAACTTAAATTTTAATTGCATATATTATTTTATTGTTTTGTAATTGTGTACAAAAAAAAAAATAAATAAATAAATAAAACATTCAGAAATGAAAATTTTACTAAAAGAAAATATTTTAGGTATAGTAGCAGCTGGTTCGATGCTATTAATGAAGTTTTTGTTATAAATTTTTAATTTTTGAAATGAAAAGCATTCCATAATGACATTTTCTTATCACTTAAACTTATCACTTTGTTAATAATCTTGAAATGTTAATTAATGATTAAAATTAATGATATTTTGATATATTGAATAAATGAATAAGATTTCTCTCCTTTTTTTTTCCCTTTTTTGGAAATTCGATTTGAAAAGAAATTATTTTATCAATGCAATATTGTTATTTTAATTGAAAAAGTTTGTAAAATTAAAAAACTCAAATTTTAATTTTTATGAAATCTTTGTTTAAAAAGAAATGAAATAAGTATAAATGGAAATTTAGCATGCAATATGTGTAAAGTTACAAAATTTTTTTTTTTTTTAAACTAAAAAAATGAAACTATTTTTCATTCCAATTTATAAATTGAAATTTTTTGTTTGCAAAACTTTTTTTTTTTCCATTCTAATAAATTGTAATCATTATTAAAATTTCAAAAAAGAAGAAAAATAAAATGTGGAAAAATTAGAAATTCAATTCTGTATTTTTCCAATATTTACCTCTTTTTGTAGTTTTATTTTAATCGTATCTTTAAAATAATTACATCGTCCATTTTTTTTTTTCTCTTTTAAGGTAAAATGTTTGATCTCAAAATTACGTTTGCTTAAATTCTTTTTTTTTTTTGAATGCATCTAAAATTTATATTTTCTTTTTCTTTTTTAAATATATTTCAAATTTCAGATTTATATATATATATATATATATTTTTTTTTTGATGTAAAGTTTTGTAATAATATTTGTATATATTTTTTATTATATAGTTTATTTAATTAAAATAATACAAAAGAAAAGTTAGTGATATGTTAGAAAATCATTCATCAACGACAAATTTTCTTATAACTTTGATAATATACAAGAATTATCATTGTGAAGAATTAGCATAAATACAATCATTTTAGCTTATTATCATTATTATCACTACTATTATCAGTATATGATCAAAGTTAGAGACAATGTTATTAAATACCGAATTAGCATAAATACAATCATTTTAGCTTATCATCATTATTATCACTACTATTATCAGTATATGATCAAAGTTAGAGACAATGTTATTAAATACCGAATTAGCATAAATACAATCATTTTAGCTTATCATAATTATTATCACTACTATTATCAGTATATGATCAAAGAGACAATGTTATTAAATACCGAATTAGTATAAATACAATCGTTTTAGCTTATTATCATTATTATCACTACTATTATCAGTATATGATCAAAGTTAGAGACAATGTTATTAAATACCGAATTAGCATAAATACAATCATTTTAGCTTATCATAATTATTATCACTACTATTATCAGTATATGATCAAAGTTAGAGACAATGTTATTAAATACCGAATTAGCATAAATACAATCATTTTAGCTTATCATAATTATTATCACTACTATTATCAGTATATGATCAAAGTTAGAGACAATGTTATTAAATACCGAATTAGCATAAATACAATCATTTTAGCTTATCATAATTATTATCACTACTATTATCAGTATATGATCAAAGTTAGAGACAATGTTATTAAATACCGAATTAGTATAAATACAATCATTTTAGCTTATTATCATTATTATCACTACTATTATCAGTATATGATCAAAGTTAGAGACAATGTTATTAAATATCAAAGGAAAAGAATGAAAAAAGAGAGTTAAAATGAGATTATTATAATTCGTTTCAAAATTACATAAAAATAAGTAATTAGCACAAGAAAATTAATTATTGATAATTAGCTATAAAAGAATTAATTAATTACTGATATAACAATAAGATATGATAATATTACATACCTATTTTCTAATTCAATTCTTTCTTTTATTAATTTAAATTTTGTGAATTAGAAACTATTCGTCATTTCATTTATGTATTGCTGAAATGCTTAAGTATTTTTTATTAGATTAATAATAATTTAATGATTGATATTATTGATACTACTATTTCTACAAAGATTAATTTAACTTTGTAATTTAAAAAAAAGTTTACTTACTTAATATAAATTTTATAATTTTGAAAATAAATCAATAAGATTGTTCGAGTTTTCATACTGTTAATATTGCGGTGTCTAATTAGTTTTTTCAATAAAATTCCAATAAATTTAACTTTTTTCAAATGTTAATTAATTGATTTATTATTTGCTTAATGTTTTTTTTTTCTCATCAAATATGGTTTACAATTAATGAAAGATAAGTAATTTGATAAATTATTGGGGATCAGAATTGTGAAGAATAATTAAGATAAGAATGTATAATATTAACAAAAAACTTTCAAAAAAAAAAAAAAAGGAAAGGAAATTTTCAATTATTCAATTATTTAGCTAAAAAAACAGTACCATAAAAATTTTAAAAATTTAAGAATTCTTACTGGAAGGTATTAAATATGCTATTTAATTTTAAATAAAATTGTTTAAAATTAAAGAATAAATCTCAAACGTTAATTTGCTTATTTATTAATTTACTAAATTAAAGTAAAATTTTGAAAGGAAGCAATTTTTTTTTCATTTTATCAAACAAATTAAAATTAAATATAGGAATTAATGAATTATTAAAATATACAAAATGAATAATATAATACAATGCAACAATATATGCACAAAAAAAAAAGGAAAAAAAAAATATTTTCAGAGTGAAAATTTTAGAATTAACATTAAACCCATTGTTATAAGACCTAAAATTATTTTAAAATTATATTAGCAATAATTTTTGAATGTTAAATAATTGTCTAAACAAATTCATTTTCAACATTAAACATTTAAATTTTGAACAAATGCGAAAAACTATGCATAAAACTTTAAAGCTAAAAAAAAAAAATGAAAAAAAAAATGATCGTTTGAATTTAATTCTTAATTTAAAAATATTTTTATAAAAAATTAATAAATAAATAAAATTAACCTGAAATTGGTAAAGTTAATATCCATGATAAAGCAATATTTCTAAATATTGACCACTGGACACCTTTTCTAGCACGAATCATTCCAACAAATATTACACTTCCAACCTGTAAAAATGTTTTCAATTTTTCATTTCTTTCTATAAATTTCTATTTTTTAAGAAAAAAAAAATTAAAATTAAAATATTTGTAAAGAAAAAAAAAGAAAGAAAATGAAAACAAACCAATGAATGAGTTGTACTAATCGGTAAGCCAAGTTTACTAGCTGTTAGTGAAGTTACTGCTGCACCAAATTCAATTGTAAAACCACTAAAATTTACAAATTAAAAAAAAAAAATTAAAATTTACAAATTTTATGCAAATTTTTTTTCTTTCTTTCAAATTTTATAACATTTCGTAATTTTGCTTCTTTCATTTTCTTTTTTTAAATTCAAATTTTAATTTTATTTCATTATAACTTACACATATTTTATATACTCATAGTGTATTTATTAATTTAAATTATAAATTATTATATAATGTAAGAAAATTTTTTTTAGAATTTTAGGGTACATAGTAATAATTTCATGAAATGAAAACAAAAAAAGTAAATTTTGCAGCAAATTAATCGTGGATATATCAGTACTGATAGTTTGTATTATCTATTAAAATTTTAAAATATATATTAATTTGATAAAATGATAAAAAAAGTAGTAAACTTTGATAAAATAAAAAAAATAAAAATAAACCTTGCAGCATTAATGGTAGACATATGACTACTGATAGTTTCTATTGCTCATTAAAATTTTAAAATTTGATAAAATAAAAAAAAGTGATAAACCTTGATAAAATAAAAAAATAAAATTAAACCTTGCAGCATTAATGGTAGACATATGACTACTGATAGTTTCTATTGCTCATTAAAATTTTAAAATATATATTAATTTGATAAAAAATAAAAATAAACCTTGCAGCATTAATGGTAGACATATCAGTACCGATAGTCCGTATTACTCGATGTCCAAGTACCACAAGACCAACACAGATCGCAAGCACACCATAAAGTAATACATAAATTGGCGTTTCATTACGTTGTCGTACGTCTAAATTAGAATAAATTGATATCAGTGCTGTTAATGGAGCTATTGCATTCCTGAAAATATAAACACGTATCATTTCCGTTTTACGTATCATTTTTTTTTTTTGCTACAACTATCAAAATAAATTAATCTTTATCAAACGTACAGCATTTTAATCTTTCATTAGTTAGAATATAAAATTCTCACTAATTTGTTTTATTTCAAAATTATGGAAATTTAATTTTAAAACTAGGTATACAGAAATTTTAGTCATAATTCTATTTTATACATGAAAATTTTTTTTTTTTAAATATCAAATTGAATTTTAATATTTTTTTAAATAACATTTTAACAACAACAACAAAAAAAAAAAAGAAAAAAAAAGAGAAATTACCCGACATCATTAGCGCCATGCGCAAATCCGGCAAAACATGCCGTAAAAGCTTGTATTGAACTGAATATTTTCATTGTTCTATCATCCGTTATCCGATTATCAACCGGTAATATCCATCGAATAAATTTCATTGCTAATTTACAGAACGAAATATTTTATTAACACTTATCAACAATAATTAAAAAATTGAAATATTTAAAAACAAAAGTTTTTTTTTTCCATTTATATTTCAATCAGAAAGTGAAAAAGAGAGAAAGGAAAAGTAAGAAATAAGTATAATTCCTGTACATTTCATACAATCCAAAAAAAAGAGATTTTTTTTTTAAAATATACTAATAAATAAAAAAAAAAAAAAAAATAATATTAAAATATACTAATAAATATAAAATGATTTCTAACTATTATCAGTTAACTGTGATCGAAGTATTTCTTTTCCGTTTTTCTTTGCTTCACAATCTACCGTTTTGTTACCTGTAAAGTTTATATAGAAATAACGACTTTTAACTCAATTATTTTATAATTTTCAATTTATAATAATTTTCAATTGCATAAATAACGAAAAAAAAAAAGTGATAAATTATAAGCAAAATGAAAAAATAAATTTTTAAAAGTTAAAAAAAAGAAT